AAGATCTGTAAAGTTGCAAAGACTAAAGTTTCAAATCCAAAGGGATATTCTTTATAAAAGTTAAGAGTCAACCACGCCTACCTAAAACGGCTCGTTCTAACACGCCACCCCACATGTCTACGTCACGATGTGGGAAGATTTGCATAATGCTGCCCAAATGTTCACACAAAGAAAGAAGGCGTAACTTTGATTCTCGCTGTAGTATTGTTGTTGCCTCCGGCCTCCGCTCACTCTAGCCCGCCGTGTGTGAACACTGTTCCAGAACAGTTCAACCCAAATATTCAGATGTGTCCAGCGAGTTTTATGGAGGACTGTTTCCTGATCCTGGTAGAGTACACTACAATGCCGGCTGTTCTGACTCACAGACTGTAAGTAATTTTTTTTCATATTTAAAGAATTTGCCACTGACCATTCAAACGCGAGTTTTGAGCAGTGTAGAGTAGAGTTTGTAGTTTGTCATTTCTCTGATCACAAATGCAGACATGGTTTTATGTTTACGCGGCATGATGCAATGCAATGCGTAAAAAGACAGTACAAGTCATTATAATCCGTAATTATGTCCCCACTGGATGCAACAAATGCCTCGTTTATAATGGGTTTTAATGTTTTTGTCTTGTCGCTCCGGCCGGGACAAGGCATCACAATATGGCAAGGGGCGTAACATTTCCGTCACACGCTTGAAGTATTCAGCCAATCACAATGCACTGGATAGCTGGCCAATCAGAGCACACCTCGCTTTTCAGACCGATGAGTAAAAATATAAAAATCGACGTGTTTCAGAAAGGTGGGGCATAGAGGAGAAACAATAATGTACAGTATGTGTAAAATAATGTGTTTTTTGAACCTTAAACCGCATAAACACATTTCATTACACCAAATACACAAAATAATGTTCTTTTTAGCAACATCATATGACCCCTTTAATGACAGTAGGCAGCATGTTTAGTAGCTAGGCAACTGTCCCTTTAAGAGCTGCAGGCATTTCTCTCTCAACTGTTTACTTTCATTTTAGACATAACCAACTGTGTTTATATGTAAACCTTGTGTGTTTTTGACAGTATTAGACGCAAAATCAATCAGACGCGAAAGACAACTTAATCCAATAATCAGGCGCTTTTTGACAGGTTCTCAGTAGCTGCGTTTACATGGACCTTACTAATCTGATCGTAATAGGACTAGAAGCACAATCAGAATAAAAAAGTCACATGTAAACACGTCAATCGGATTGAATTTTTCAGATCCGACTAAAATTTCGATCGGATTGTAAGGGGTGGTTTATTCCTTTTGTAATCAGAGCGAGAGGACATGATCGGATTGAAAACTGAAACTGGAAAGTACTGCGCATGTGCAGTAGTGTTGGGTCGTTCTTGAACGATTAGTTAATTTTGAACGAATCTTTCATGTGACTCAGGAAGAACGAGTCGTCTCGGGGAGTGATTCGTTCAGTCGCGCATGCACAACATCCTACAGGTTCTGTACTGGAATTAGTCAAGTAGTTCACCTGTTTCGAGTCTTTCGTTTTTTCGAGTCATTTGTTCATCACGTGACAGCCCCATAAGTTTAACCAATGCAGTCTGAGCCGGAAAGAGAATTGATTTGTTCATCTCTCAAGTCTTCGGGTTTTTCGAGTCGTTCGTTCATCATGTGACAGCCCCATAAGCTTAACCTATGCAGTCTGAGCCGGAAAGAGACAGGGCAGAGACATTAATAATAATAACCAACTCTTTATTACCTTTTTTACAACATTCATTGTTATGGAAAAGAACCATAATGACAGAAATTCACACATTTATAAACTGTAAGAAATAAAAATCTACAATCTGAGACCAGAAACGCATCACGTAACTGTAAGAGTAAATAATAATTATAATAATGATGATAATAATAATAATAATAACTATGCACCCGTTTGTAAGGTAGCTTGTAAATTAACTAATTTCTCTATCCAATGCTGTCACGTCACATGACAAAAGAACGAATGATTCGAAAGACTCGAGAGATGACCTAATCAATTCTCTTTCCGGCTCAGACTGCATTGGTTAA